CCCTAAGGGAGCCCTCCAGCCCTCGAGCCCTCCGAGCCCTCCGAGCCCTCCGAGCCCTCTTGGGGGGCAGTCACATAAGCCGCGAGTTCGTTTTTTTCTCTTTTTGCGACCCCTCCCAGAGGGCCCTTCCGACCCCTCTCGAGCCCTCCCGCCACGAAGATCCTCCCTTGTCCGACCGTCCCTCCGAGCCCACCCGGCGTCCGGGGAGGGGGCTAGCCCTGTGGAGCCCTCCCGACGCCGATCCGACGGGGACCCCTCCAGCCCTGTGGGCTGGCGAGCCCTCCGGTCGGAGGGACAGGGAGGTGGAAGTGGGAGGGCTTGACAAGACGGACCTCTCTCGCTCCGGGAGGGTGGAGGGGTGGAGGGTGGAGGGGTGGAGGGGTGGTTGAGCCCTCTAGCTCTGTCGATATAGCCCCACCCCTCCCGCCGTTTTAGGGCCTACCCACCCGCTATGCGCGCCCCAGAGGCTCTGCGGGGCTCTGGGCCGCAGAGCGCAGACCCCAGTGCCCAGAGGCAGGAGAGCCGCTCTGCCAGAGGGCGCGAGGGCGCGCCCCCCGCAATGCGCGCTCAAAGCGCAATAGAGCGATCAATAGGTAGGGTCCATCGCTCATTCAGCATCCATGCATACATACGTAAAAACTACTACTGACACCAATCCACATCAAAGAGAGGGAGAGAGATGGAGAGAGAGAGCCCCGACACAATCGCGCTTGAGCGCACACAAGAGCTCAGGGAGGCGAGCGCCCCGGGACGCTCGAACCGGGAGCAAAACCGCGTAAACCGGAGCACTGGCGGCGTCACCGAGTCCATTCGCCGAGCTTGGCCTCAAAGCTCGAGCCCCGCGCGCCGAGCATCTTCTTGTACGAACCCACCAGTGACTCAAAACGTGCCTCCTCTCGCGCATCCGCAGAGTTGGCACGGCGCCGCTGGGCGGTTGGCTCGCCAAACGCGTTCTGGGCTTGCCGCTTGCCGCGCCGCAGCACGCTCTCGATCTCGTGGTGCTCCTCGATGCGCTCCCGCCGCTCTGGATTTCCCTTGCTAGTGGGTCGTAGCTTCGCTGCTGCCTTGTCAGCGCCGCGGGTCGTCGCCTCGGACGCCAGCGCGCGGTCCTTGGGCGGCTGCTTCGAGCCCCGCGGCTGGTTCGAGGCCTTGCCCCGCGGCTGCTGCGAAGGCGGCTGCTGCGAGTGCGGCTGCGAGGGCGGCGGCTTCGAGGGCCGCTTGGCTGCTCGCGCCTCTGCTGCCGCCGACGGCTGAGCCCGGCCCTTCCCTTGCGGGGCTGCCTTCGGCTCGGCGCCGGCCGCCGCCGCCGCCGCCGCCGCCTCCGCAGCGCGGCGCTCGGCGCCGAGCTTGCGGCGCTGCTCGTGGAGCTTGAGCTTCTGCACAGAGTCGACGGCAAACTCGACGAGCAAGCGGCGCCCCTTGCCGCCGTGCTTCTCGAGCGCCGCAGGGTTGTCGGCGAGGGCTTCGAGGGCCGCGAGCGCCGCCTCGTGCGTGCCTTGCCGGGGGAGAGGGGAGGAGCAAACGTCGGGGGCGAGGCGTCGCGGGGAGGAGCAACGTGAGGGTGGTGGAGCGCGTGGTGAAAATGGCGGCGGCGCGGGGCGGCGGCGCACCAAACTGGATGAAACCGAACCCCTTGGAGCGGGGCTGGCCGCGAGCGTCGCGCCGCTGCTCGTCGCGCACGATCTTGACCTGCCTCACGAGCCGGTCGCCGTTGCGCTTGGCTGCGTGCCGCGCCTGGCCGCCCGCCTTGCCAGCCGCCGCGCCCGCCGCCGCGCTGACGGCGAGCGAGCTGAGGATCTTCTCGTCGACGTGGGGCGGCAAGTTGCGCACCGACAGGCGCGTGGTCGAGATGACAAAGTTTGGGCTCGCCAGCTTCTCCTTCTTCTGCGCCCACGCCGCCTCGCGCTTTCGCAACTCGGCCAGGGAGAGGGCCTCGGCGCCCTCCTCCCCGGGGAGGACGAGCCCGTGCCGAGCCAAGTGCAGGCCCCGCCGGTCGCCCTCCGGCTTGACCCGCTCTTGCCTGGCGGCCTCGCGCTTGTCGGCGGCCGCCTTGACGGCGTCGCCGCGCTCGACGGCCGAGCTCACCGTCAGAGGGTGGCCGAGCATGCGGGCACCGGAGCCGGCGCGTGCCGCCGCCAGCGCCGCCTGCGCGCTTGCCGACGACTCGAAGCGCACAAAGGCAGTGCCGCGCGAGAGGCCTGTGGAAGGGTCGCAGACGACGCGCGCGTACCTGAAGGGAGCCGCAGAGAGAGGGCGAGGCGGTGGCTGCGCGGAGAGACGCGGCGGAGAGAGGAGGGCGGGGCAAGAGGGGCGGGCCGCGGTGATCAGTCGCCCTGCGCCCCAGCACTGGCAGTGGCTGGAGCTAGGGGAGTCGAATCAGAGTCGATCATCCGGGGATGGGTGCGAGTCGTCCTCTCACCGCGGCGCCGGGGGCAGCAAGTGGGGGGGGCAGCAAGTGCGGGGGCAGCAAGTGGGGGGGTGCAGCAAGTGCGATGGGGCGGCGGGGCGGCGGGGCCGGCACGACGCACCGCAGTGCGCCGTGCTTTGCAAATCGAGCCTCGAGCTGCGTCTGGCTCGCCTCGATGGGGAGCCCCTGCACGAACAGAGTCGCACGCAGCGCCTCCTCCTCGTCCTCGGGACCCGCCTTCCGCCGCCTTCCCGGCTTGGCCGCCGCCTCGCTCTCCTCCTCGCCGCTCTCCTCCTCCTCGCTTTCTTCGTCGCCGCCCTCCTCTTCGCCGCCCTCCTCCTCGCTCTCCTCGCCGCCCTCCTCCTCCTCGCCGCCCTCCTCCTCCTCGCCGCCCTCCTCCTCGCTCTCCTCTCCAGCCGCTCCGCCTCCGGCATCCTCCGCCTCCTCGCCATCCTCCTCCTCCTCGCTCGCCGCAGTGGACGGAGCCGAGGGCGCGGCGGCGGACGCCGCGCTGTGCTCCTTTTGGTACGCCGTGCGGTTCTGCGCGACGTCCGCCGCGACGATCCGGCCGCACACCTTTTGCTCGTTGAGGGCACTGACGACCGCCTCGCTCGCCTCTGCAGAAGGAACCTCGACAAAGGCGAAGCCCGGATGCTTGCCGTCGGGTCGCTTGGGCATGTGTACGTCGAGAACCTAGCCGGACGGAGGACGGGCTGGGGATCCGAGGTCGGCGAGGGCGAGGCGAGGCTGCATTGGCGGGGCTGGCGCGGCGGGGCTGGCGCGGCGGGGCTGGCGCGGCGGGGCTGGCGCCTGTGCATGCGGCCCGACCGCGGCGCGTAGGGCCGCCGCGTCGCAAGAGAAGGCGAGGTTGCGGATGATCACCCGGTGCCTCTGTCGCGGCTCGCGCGCAGGCTTGGCGCGCTTCGCCTCGCCGCTCGGACCGCCGGCGCCGCGCTTTCCCGGCGCCGGCGCCGCTGCTCCCTGCTCCGGCGCGCCACTCGGAGGGGCGGACGTCGCGCCCTTCTTCTTTGCGAGATCGACAGTGATCTTGCGACCGCCCAGCAGCGAGCCGTTTTGCTCCTGGACAGCGCGCTGTGCGTCGTCAGCCAGCACAAAGCCGACAAAGCCGAAACCGCGGCTCTCTTTGGTCTTGCGGTCGCGCACGACCCACGCCTCGCGCACCGGGCCGACCGAGCCAAAGTGCTGCTCGAGCGCCTGGTCGGTTGTGTCAAAGGCGAGGTTGCGCACAAAGACGGACGACGGAGCCGCCATCGAGGCGGCAGCGCGACGGCGCGAGTCTTCGAGAGTGGGCAGGGTGAGTGTGGCGACGAGGAGTCGTTCGCAGCAGCTCCAGTTTCTTTTTTCATCTCCCTTCGCTAACGAAACCAGTTCTTTCTTTTCTGGTCCTCCCGGGAGTCGGAGCCACCAGCACCACCGCGCACCGGGTGACCTGCGCACGGTGGGCGAGATTACATGGGGGTACGTACAAAAATAACGACCCGAGCGGTACGTGCTCGGCGACCGCGCGCGAACCCCGGCGTCTGCCCTGGTGCCTGGAAGAAAAGAGCAGGCACTGCCGCCCGGCCTCTCCGCTCTGCTCAGCCCCTCTCTCGCAACCGAACAAGGCCGGCCCTAAGCCGCGGCCGGCTTTGGCAAGGGGGGAGGGAAGCAAACGTAGGTGCCTCGTGTGTGTTGCCGCGCGGAAACACAAAGAGGCGAGAGCGCGGAGAGGGCCCTGGCGCAGCCGCGTCGCCAGCCGCGACCATCACTCGACAGGTCCAGCACCGCACACCTCGGAGTTTTTCGAGGTCATAATCAGCCCAATGATGAGGCCGTACAGGCCCAGCGCCTGTGCGGAGGTTTGAGGCGGGTGGCGGCGTCGGCTGCCCGAACGCAGAGAGCGGGCCAGGCGGCGCCGGGTTGGCGCGGGCGGCGCGGGCGGCGCCGGGTGGCGCGGTAGCCGCGGCGGGCGAGGTGGTGGGGGGCACGGAGGCGGCATGGAGCCGGCGTGACGGGCAGAGGGCTCGGGAGGGAGCGGCCGCCTCTGCGAAGATGAGGATCAGCACCATGCCGACGTACATCTTGCCCTGCTTGGCCACCGCCCGCACGCCCGCGTCGCCCGCGACACCAATCGCCACCCCTGCCGCGAGGCCGCTCATGCCGCAGCACAGGCCGGCGCCCAAGTGCGCAAACCCTGTGAAGAGGCTGTAGCCAACCTGCGGTTTTGTGGGACGGCAGTCGGCCGGGGCCGGGCCGAGGGCTGCGAGGGATTTCGGCGCGCCGCGTTGCCCACGACGCCCACAATCTGGTTGCTAATGATGACGGCGATGATGAGGCCGTAAATGCCGAGCACGCCCGCCATCACAACTGGGATGATGTTCTTCATCACAATCTGTGGCGCCGGCGCAGGGATGTCAGAGACGGAATGTCTCAGAGAGGCTGAGCGCGGCGCGCGCTGCATAGCCCGCCGCGCGCGAGCGCGGAGCGTCTGGCGGCGACGGGCCCGCCACGCGTCTACGGCGGCGGCGCGCAGGCAGAGGCGCGGCGCACGTCTGGCTGCTCGACGCCGATCGTCGAGATGCCCATGGCGGCCTTGCCTGTCCCGTACGCGCTCCCGACGCAGGCCATCACGAGGGCAATCATCGCACCGCCGAAGCCGAGCGCCGGCGCGTATGTGGGGCAGAGGCTCAGCGAATCTGCGCTGCTCATGGTCGGGCGAGCGCAAAACACACAGGCAGCACAACGGAGCTGAATGCTGTGAATGTCCCACCCCCAATGTCCCACCCCCCTGCGCGCGGGCCTTCTAGGCCCGCGGGTAGTCTCCCCCCATCCCCAGGGCCTCCAGGGCTCGCACCACCTCAACCTCTCATAGACCAGCGCAAAGCGCCATAGGACGTATTTCTTGTCAATAACAAGGTCTGTGAATGAATACTCGAGTAAGTAAGTAGGACCGCGCAAGCGGCGTGGCGTGGGGCGGTTGCGCATCCCTCCGGGGGCCCCTCTGCGCCGGGGAGGCGTTGTTGGAGGCTAGGACGCAAGCGTCCGTCGCCCTTTTCAAACTCGGGGCCCACTCCGCTACGGCAGCCTACGCTCCGTCGACCCCCGCGCCCGCCCGAATTTGCTACGGTCAGCCACAGGCGAAGAGATTTTTTTTGCGAAATTGTGGGCACTCTACCCAACGAGAGGACACAAGAAGACAGTGAGCCGCCACAGGCGTCGTTGGCGCACGTGCTGAGTGAGTGGCAGCTGCGCTGGAAATAAGGAATAGAAAGCGCGTTACTTCATGCGGAAGCTTGACAAACACACGGCGAGGGCGACAGCAAGAGTCGAACGGGAGGCGCCTGAATCAAAGACTTTTGTGGCTTCCCTGGCCGAGGCGGTGTGTGAGCGGCCGGGCAGTCGAGTGGGGTTGTGGGGCGCCCCGTGTCCGCGCGGGGTGGCCAGGCTGTGGCTGGGAGTGGAGCGCGGCGGCTTTTGCACCTCCTGTGGAAGCAGCCGTTCAAGCGAGGCGGACCGTGCGACTCGAGTGTGGACTTGTGTAGCCGCTCCTGCGCGTGGTGGCCAGGTGGGTGGGTGCTCTGGCGGGGTGCAGCGACTCAGGAATTTAGATGGGCGCAGAGGAGCGCGCGCCGAGCGAGACTGCGGGCCGAACGCGTTACGAAAAAAAAAAAAAATATTCTTAGCTTCAAGCCCCCCTCCGAGACTAGGGACAGTCACCACAGATACATACGTCGGTGGGAGTGCCCCCCGCCCCCACTTGCCCTGACTGCACAGGATAGCGTGCCCCGAAAACGGCGACACATAGTGGGGGACACTGCGCAAGGAGGGGGTGCGAAGGCTCATTGGGGTGCTAGGTGGGACCATGAGGGGGGGTGGGCGGGGTCCTGTGGGGGTGAAATGTTGCGCGGCGAATTCGAACCTACCCCCTCGCCGCGCCGATCCTCGCGCGGAGGGTAAAACCCTGTGGGACAAAACCCCCCCGCGGTCGGCAGTCTTCAGAGTGGACCCCCCCCTCCCCAGCCTCCCCTGTGCATCTCGCACCCCCCCCCGCTCCCCATCGGTGACTCGCGAAGGACACGGACACTCGGGGTGAGGGGGGGTCCCCCCGGAGGGGGCTCTGGGGCATTGTTGGGTTGATCGCTCGTGCCGATCTCGGGTCGATCTCGGGTCGATCTCGGGTCGATCTCGGGTCGATCTCGGGTCGATCTCGGGTCGATCTCGGGTCGATCTCGGGTCGATCTCGGGTCGATCTCGGGTCGATCTCGGGTCGATCTCGGGTCGATCTCGGGTCTCGGGTCGGTCTTGGGTCGGTCTCGGGGTGGTCTAGAAAAGAAAAAAATGGGGCGAGATGAGGCGAGATGGGGCGAGGTGAGGGGCGATGAGGCGAGATGAGGCGAGATGAGGCGAGATGAGGCGAGGTGAGGCGAGATGAGGCGAGATGAGGCGAGGTGAGGCGAGATGAGGCGAGATGAGGCGAGGTGGGGCGAGATGAACGCGTTACGAAAGGAATGCCAGTGCTTTGCCCGGGTTTACGCAAGGGCCCTCCCTGTGGGGGCCCGTGAACATCTTGAGCTTGTGAGCCAGGAAAAGGGTTGCCCCCAATGAACACACCAGTGTGGGAGGGCGAGACGATCGAGGGGTCCCGTACCATGCGGAATCGACCCTATCCAGTGCTCACTCTCGCTCAAGTGCTCAACGAGCAACGAACTGTGAGTGTGCTAACTATCTTAATTAATTAACGAACGAATACCAACCCCGACCGCACATGAACCCGACCCTTTCACGCCCTTACCCGGCCCCTCGTGTGACGCAGTTTCGCGTCCCGTCAGAACGCACGTTTTTGCTCGCCCGCCTTTGATCGAGTTGCCAAAAGGGCATTCCCAAACTTACGAGTCGTCAAGTCCGTACTTCCGTCCGCGAACACGCACGCGGCCACCGTGCGCTGAGCGCTGAGCGGGGAGCCCCCACACGCCCGCATTAGGGAGGTACCTTCGGACGCGCGATGGATCTCGCCCCGACCCTCCTCCTGGCCATTGGCCTGCCCACCGTGCTCGGGTACAGCCACGCCGTCAGCCCCGCCGCCAGCCTCGCCGCGCCCGGCCCCACCATGAAGGGCGGCGGCACCAAGGTGGCGCAGTACTTTACCCAGTGGGGGATCTACTCGCGCGGCTTCAAGCCGATGGACATGCAATTTGACCGGATTACCCACGTCATCTACGCCTACCTTCACGTCACCGCCGAGTGCGAGGTCCGTTCGCTCGACGAGTACGCTGACCACCACATCTGCTACCCAGAGTTGGGCATGACGTGGGAGGAGCACTGCAACGGCAGCGGCAACGCGGGCAACGTGCGCGCGTTCCAGATGCTGCGCGAGCGCCACCCGCACATTAAGCTCGAGCTCTCGTTTGGCGGCTGGACCAAGAGCGACTACTTTTCCGGCTGCAGCAAGGACGCCGGCAGGCGCACGAAGCTCATCAACGGGATGGTGGACATGCTCCGGAGGACGAACTTTGACGGCATCGACATTGACTGGGAGTATCCAGTCTGCTGCGGCGAGGCGGACAACGAGGTGGACCCGCAGGACTGGAGCAACTATGTGCAGCTGCTCCGCGAGGCGCGCGCCGCGCTCGACGCCGGCTTCCCGCGCGTGCACAAGGAGCTCTCGATTGCCATGGGGATGGGCCCCGCCGTCACCGACCCGGCACCCAAGGCGGAGATCTGCGGCATCATCGACACCGTCCTGATGATGACCTACGACTACAACGGCGCGTACCAGCCGCTCGCGTCGCAGAATGCGCCGCTGTACAATGACCCGGCGTATGTCGCCGCCGGCGGGGTGGAGGACTACAACATCGACTGGGGGGTGACCACGTGGCTCCAGCACTGCCCCAGCTCGAAGCTCATCATGGGCTTTGCCGCGTACGGCCGCGGCTACGCCGGCACCTCCACCGAGTACGGCACCGCCTCTGGCGCCCTGCCCGGCACGTGGGAGTCTGGCGTCCTCTCGTGGTGGGACCTCAAGGAGAACTACATCGGCCGGCCGTGCTCGCTCACCAACCGCGATGCGTCGATGCCGGCCGGGTACTGGCAGTCGCACCGGAACAACATCACAAAGACCCCCTACCTCACGGCGCCCGCGGGCGGCCCCAGCGCCTACATCTCGTACGACGACGAGGAGTCGGTCGCCGTCAAGGCCAAGTACGGCAAGCAGCGCGGGCTCGGCGGCATGGTGTGGTGGGAGGCCTCCGACGACCGGGACGGCGACTTGCTCAACGCGGCCAACGCGGCGTGGGGCGTTGCTCCCTCCGCGCACGCACCGCCCACGCCCACCCAGAAGGCCGCCTCGATGTGGGTCGCCGCGACGACGGCGGCCGCCAGCGCCAACCGGGCGATGGCGCTCCTGCAGCTCGCTTGCCTCCTCCTGGCCCTCGTCGCGGGCATCGCGGGCGGCGCCCTCTGCTGGTCGGCGTGCCGATGGCGCTGGGTCAAGACCAATCGACCCAGCCGATCACGCACGTCCGCAGTCAAACTGCCGCCCAGCCTCGAGAAGCACCTGGAGCCGCTCCGGCTGGCAGACGTGTGCCGCGAGTACATTGACCGCATGCCGCCCGACGCCATCCCAATTTCCAGCCAGGTCAAGTCCTGAGCGCTGCGAAGGGAGGCCATCGGTGCCAGATCGAAAGCGACTAGCCAAGCACACGTCCGTGATTGCGACGGCGCACCAGAGGCTCGAGCGAGGCGGATGGAGCGCGCGCGGAGACGGACGCCTATCGCGTTCGGTGCGCACCTGTGCCGTGCGTGCGGGCATCCAGGATCGCTGTTGCAAAATTGAGTCTCATCGGGGTGCGCACTTTGTTGTCTTGGAGGTCGAGACCGATGTGTACGGCTTTAGGGGGGGCCGTAAAGGGGGGGGGGGGGGGTCAACCTCGGCGCGTCGTGTGACTGTGAGAGCTGCGTTGTTGCGTAGGATGACAAAACAAAGGCGGATAAGTCCTGTGGATTGGCTAAGACCGAAAGATACACGCCCACGTCTCATCGGATTGTGTATCGGCTCTCTGCTCTCTCTCCGAGAAGCGCCGAGAGTTGCAGGTGGAGGTATCTGCATGTACTCAACAGGGGGGTCTAACTGTTATTGGTGTTGCGCGCGCGCCACACCGCACACCAAACGACAAAGCGGGCAGCACGAACGATTTTGCCACACGCACCACCCAGCTCGACTGCCACGTGGACAGGGCTCTTACGACTGGGACGCGCGGTGACCGGTGTGCGGCCCCCACGTTTCTTAGGCACCGCTGTCCGTCCGTGCCCACAGGCTCACTCCGTGGCGGCGCAAGAGTCGAGGTCGATGATCTTGATGTCCGACTCGCCACCCGGCCCGCCCATCTTCACGATGCCGTCCTCGTTGTCAATGCCGATGAGCTGGCCGACGCTGCCCTTGTTGTCGCCGCGCAGGATGATGACGCGGTCGCGCTTGGCCGGCCGCACCACCTCGAGGTCGCCGCGCGTCGCGCTTACCTTTTTGACTTCGTCCGACAGCATCACCTCGTACGTGCCGTCCGAGTTCACCTCGACGACGACGCCGCGCTTGCCCTCGTGGCCCGCCGTCTTGAGCGTGACGAGCACCCGCTCCGGCAGCACCTCCTGCGAGGCGCTGCCGCCGGCGGCCGCGAAGCCGGTCGCGTCTGACGCGGCGGCGCTCGCAGCCCACGAGGAGGCCGCAGAGAGACCACCCGGGCTGGCCGGCCGCATCGACCCAAAGCTGTCGCCGCCAGCAACAAAGGGCGACTCGCCTGGCGCGGCGATGGCAGCGGGTGAGCTGGGGGATGGCGAGAAAAGGAGAGTGCTTCCACCCGCGAGGAAGGGAAATGTGAGAGCCGGCGAGCGCGCCAATGCCGCCCATCGACATTGACCCCCCGCCAGCCCCGCCGTAAGAGAACGAGTCCGAGCCGCCGCCGCCCCCCATCGCCGCCCACTGCTGCTCAAACTCGTCCTGCCGGCCGCCGCCGCCGCCGCCATATTGAGAGGAGGAGGACGGCGTCGAGGGGCGGTGCAGCGGCGTGTTCGGCGCCAGCGGGTCCCAGACCGAGCTGTGCATCGGCGTGCGCGAGCCGTCGTGCATCGGCGTCATCGAGCCTATCGCAGGAGGGCCTCCCTGAGTGGTGGCGCGCACCACCGCATCCACAGCGAGCACCCTCCCGACGCGCCAGCCATCGAGTCGTGCATCGGCGTCTTCTCCCAAGCGCCGTGCATCGGGGTGTGGAAGCCGTCGTTGCGCAGCGGCGTGCTCGAGCCGGCGCCGCCATGCAGCGGCGTGCCGCTCCCGTCGCCGTAGCCGCCCCTCCCGCCGAAGCCGCCGCCGAGGAAGGCGCCGCCGCTCGGCGCTCGGCCGCCGCTGGTTGCCGTCTTGTCCGTGAGCTGGAGGTCCGCCTGGGGAGGGGGGGAAGGGGGGGCGGTGCGCGGCGGGCGGGGGCACGAGTACCCGGACCTGCGATCCAGTCTGCGCCGCGGGCGGAGCGCGCGCGGCGGGCAAGGCTCTGGCTGCCTTTTTGGCCGAGATGATCTTCTCCTTGCCCTGCAGCTCGACCCGCGCCTGCTGACCGGTCACCGCCTTGACCATGCCGTAGTAGCCCTTCCACGCGCCCTTGGTGATCTGCACAACCTTGCCCAGATGCTCGTCCTGCATGCCGCGCCCGCGCCCACGCCCGCCGCGCCCATCGCCCTTGCCCTTGCCCTTGCCACCGAACCCCTTGCCGCCGTCGCCAAACCCGCCGCCGCCCACGGCGGCGGCGGCGCCGCCGCCGAAGCCGCCGCCAAACCCGCCGCCGAAGCCGCCGCCGTCGGCCGCGCCGCCGCCAAATCCGCCCCCGAGCGGCGCGGCGCCGGGCGCGAGGGACGAGGGCGACTGCGGCGCCGCGAAGCTGGTTGCGCGCGCCGCCACTCGTTGGGCGACCGCGTCGTCGGCCGCCTCTCCGCCAAAGCCCTGGTACTGCGGGGCGGCGCTCTTTCCCGAGACGACGCGCACTTGGCGCGCGCGCACGCAGGAGATGCCCGCGTTCTCGCGCGACTCACGCGTGTGCAGGAAGAGGAAGGACTTGAAGATGTGCTTGACCGTGCCCTGCGCGCCAGAGTCGACCGCCTCGACCGGCGTGCCAACCTCGACGCGCTGCTCCTGTTGGCGGGTAGGGAGGACAGGTGGGTCAGTTGGGTCGGGTGGGTCGGGTGGGTCAGGGGGGGGGGGGGGGGAGCGCCTGCGAGTCGAGCGCGACGGCGTTGCGGGAGGACCTCTTGCGGCCCATCGAGCCAACCGGGACGGTCTCGACGGAGCCTTGCGAGGTGAGGACCTAGGAGGGCACCGCGCTGGCGGCGGTCAAGCGGGGCCCGGGGGGGGGGGGGGGGGGGGGGGGGAAAAAAACCCCCCCTTTAAAGGGAGGTTTTCCCCCTTTGAAAAAACCCCCACAAAGGGGGGGCCCATGGGGGGGACCCCCAAAAAGTC